TGATCCTGTAGTGAAGTCATGATCCTGTGTTTGATGTCACCATCTGTTGCCATAGAAGCAACCGTGATGTTGCAAATTAAACTTTATGACTTCATGGCAAGATAAAAGCACATCTTCAGCTGCTTGCAAAAGGGGTTAGGAATATTTCCATGAAGCGTATGGAAAATATGCCAGTTTACATTTTGTCTAAATACAGTTCTTGGAAAGTTTGTGAACAGGGAGGGCTTGGAATTATGTATTGTATGAAAGGGAGGGAAAAGAATCCAGCACTTGTATCAAATTTAAGCTTTAAAAAAAAAAATTCCCCTGGCAAGTAATTGATTTTTGGCAGGAGCCCTGCTGTTAAAAGGTTAGTGTGGTTGCAAACAGGATTGAAATAGAAACAGTTTAGAGCTCAAAGCTGTACAGATACCACCTCTTCTATCTGTAGAGACTCTCATGGTCTCATCTGGTTGTGTGCAGCAGCCATTGATAATGGTAGTTAAAGTCATTGTCACATAAATATCTAGTCCGGGGTTACAAAAACTTGAAAGAGAATATGATGTTCTGTTCTTTAAAATTGCTTAGGAAGTTAAGCCTTGATCACACTTATCGGTGTCTGACCCAATTTGAGAAATATCTTCCTTTTCATAAATTGGAAGAATGTTTTTTGTCTAAATGGCGAAAGAGGGAAGAAAGGTGTGAGTGATCCAGTGGTGCAGGAGGACACAGCTGCACCTGTACGAGGACCAGGCCAAGGGCCCATGTGCTCCTTGTAGCTCTCACTCTTCTCTTCTGCCAGGAGGAAGAGGCTGCAGAGAATGTGAGCCTCAATGCAGAAGTGTTTGTTTTCCTTTGTATGTACAGAAGAGAGAGAAAAGAGCAGGGTAAAGAGCTGCCAAGTCCTAAATTAGGAACTTATTTATTTATTTTTAATTGGACCTTTCTCTTTCCTGCCATCGTCATTTTCTTAAAATTTCCGAGCTATTTCCCTCTTAGAAATGGATATCCATCTTTAGTAATCTTTCAGTTCTGTATCTTTGAGTGACAAAGACTAAATTATGTTGCCAGTGCAATCCAGAGTAATATACTGATCTCAAAACTAACCTGACACAGTGCAGTATCATGAGGAAGGTGAAAGTTCTCCATTGAAATTCGGGGAGTTCTGCACCTACAGGCACTTGTTGGCTGTGCTGACTCTCCCACAGGGCCTGCCCGTCTGCCCTTAAACAGGAGTCCTGTACCTACCAAATACCACACAGGCTTGTCTTCACCTGCTTGCCCTCATCTGCATTTGAGGATGGTGGCTCAAAAAGGATTGTTTCCAGAACATCTCTTTTTAATTGTTAACGTTAAAAAGAGGAGTCAGTTTAAAGTGGTTACAGTGAGGACTTGGGAGGTCACACGTGGGGTTTGTTTGCCTTTCTGTTGAAGGCTGAGCATCTTGGGGAGGAACCAGGTTGTGTTGTCCATCCCCTTTGACTGCTGCAGCCTTTTTCCCACTGGTGTACTCCTGGTTAAATTATTTAGAGCACTGAGTTCACTTCTCTGATAAGCACACAGCTCTGATAAGTGAGTTAAAGGATTACTCGAATCATATTTTTAAGGGAAGGCATGAATTCTGGATTCTTTTGCCATGTCTTTCCTCATCTCTGAATATCTCCAAGGAACATGAAAGTAAAAAGTAACATCCAGGGACCCCCAGCAGAATTAGATTCACTTTAAACATGACACATGCTCTATATCCCTGGGGCAGGCACTTAATTTTGTAGCGTTTCAGACTTTTATGACGTGATGATTGATTTTGTAGAGGTGAAGTTGCTTTAGTCATTAGCTAAAAAGCCTGATAAAGCTGCACAAAGATATTAAGTTGTTACCAATCACTGGTGTCTCTTTGTTCTCCCCCAACCTTTACCACCCATTTGAAAGGGAAGGAGCAAGACAGGCAGGAGGCTGTCTCACTGCCAGTCTGTCAGGCTTTTATTAGATCCTGGCTCTCATGTCAGGCCCTCTGCTGAAGCCCAGCTTTGCACCAGATGATTAATGTGGAGCAGCGAGCCCGACAGGCTCTGCAGCCACAGCCTGAGCCCCCAGCCCAGCCAGCCGGGCCCTGCTGGAGCCCAGGACTCTGCCCCGGCCTCCCACCTACCCTTCGACCTCCCTGCTCCCGCTTTTGCAGGTGTGTGGCAGCCTGCAGTGGGAAGTCGGAAGAGTTTCAGGCTTTTAGGTTCCTTTTTCCCCTCTTTGTGTTCCCCTCCCTCTGGTGGGATTTAACTGATTCTTGGAAATCTCTTCAGCATATGAATGGCAACTCGAATCCTCCTGGGAATTGAGAGCTGCCCAATGCACACACAATTGATTCTTGCCTTGATTGCATGGAGTTCTCCAAATTTTTTTTAATTAAGTATTTTCTCTGAATCACAGAGGTATTTCTCTTGATTTCCAGTGCTTTGTCTTTTCCACCATCAGTGTCCTAGGGGTTGGATTTTTCATGCTGAATTCCCGTTTTTATCATTGCCATTTGCACTTGCAGACTAGGGGAAATCTTTTCAGTACGAGCTTCTTATTTGATTGTGGTTGGGAGTATTGTTCAGGTTATCATAGGAAGAACAGAAATGTGTTTTGTGGATAGGATTTTCCAGCCAGAATAAGCTTGTATCCTTATGATATGGCAAATGAAAGGATAGTGCAAGGTATGAGTGGATAATAACTTACAGAAGGTGATCATCAGGGCATACAGTTGAGAACAGTAAAACTGTGCCTAATTTATCCTACATGCATTACAAAGGAAAGATTCCTGTTTTTTCAACCTGCCAAGCAAAGCTGCTAAGAGCTTCAGACACCTCACTGTGGCAATACTATTGTAATGGACTTAATTTGGACAGGGGAGATATATTTTTTTTTGATTATTTTTCCCTAGGCTGATGTTTTGATTCTACTTTTCCATAATGTAAGAGCATTCTTGTCATCCTGAAAGTTGGGTCCTTTCTGTATCCACGTGTGACAGATCTATAAACATGCTGAAAGGACCTGTCATACTTACATTTTTTCTTACAGAGGCCTTTCCCTGCATCAACTCCACTGAAGGGTTCTTCAGTGGGACAGAGATATTGTACTAAACTCCAATTTACATCTGTTTGGACTAAGTTGTGTTAAGCTTGTTATGTTTTTTTAGTTATTTTAGTAAATGATGTATCATGTCAGACCATGAGGGTCTGCCTAGGCCCTGTATCCAACAGCAGCTAGACTGAAAGCCTGCGAAATAGCCCCAGGACAGGGAATTATCCTACATGTGTTGCATCCTCAAAGACATCCCGGAGTCAGTGGTGACACCTTCAGCTGTTGCTTCCATTAATTTTTCCAGTTTAATTTTCTTAGCACTTCCAGCGTTCTGTTAAAATGAGTTTCACAGTCTTAACCAAATAACTGCGTGAAGAACCCCTTCCCAGCCGCTTGTGAATTGGCCACCTGCAAGTTCCATTTGCCACCCCCATTCCAGTCCCAGGTACAGGGGACAGCAGATCTCCAGGAATCTGCTGTGTGTCACAACATTCCATAGCCCTGGTCCATGTGCCTACTCATTTATCTCTATTTCAGGCTGAAAGTGCAGGTTCAGGTGCCTCCTTTTTCAGATGGTAAGAAAACACAATTTGTGTCTATACTTCCATCAGAGTTACTATTCCATGTTTGTTTTTCTGTTCTTAATTCCTGTAATTGTCTTTGCTTTTTGATGGTCTTGAATTGTCATTTTTATTCATTGTTAACTCTCAGGGCTGGTTCTGAAATAACCAATTTATAGCCCATCACAGCATATGTACAGTTAGGATTACATTGTATGTATTCTTTAACATTTTTCTACCTGGGTTTCATCTGCCCTTGACAACAGGTTAGCAAAGGCATACAGTGCCTTTGGTAAACTCCGTAAAAGAGTGTGGCAAAACAAACACCTGAAGAAAAGTACTAAGATCAGTGTTTACAGAGCCATCGTGCTGTCTACTCTTCTATATGGTTCTGAATCATGGGTCATTTACCGGCACCACTTGCGTCTCTTAGAACGCTTCCATCAGCGCTACCTCCGTACAATCCTCAACATCCACTGGACTGACTATGTGACCAACACGTCTGTCCTTGAGCAGGCAGCAGTCCCAAGCATTGAGGCCATGCTGCTGAGAACTCAGCTGCGCTGGGCAGGGCACGTCTCCAGGATGCAGGACCATCGCCTCCCCAAGATCGTGCTTTATGGGGAACTTGCCACTGGCTG